GAGTTAAAACTGTCGGCTGAAAAACTTTGCGTGGCTGCCGCACATTCTCACGGCAGGTGAAAAGTGTGTGTAATTATACGCACTTTCATGCAATGTTGGTTTTGATACATCACAACGTGGGCATAGAACCTGGCGCACGTAAATTTTTTATGCGTACGCACCGTTTACGCACCGTTTATACATGAGGCCCCTGCTCTTCCCCACCGGGACCAGGGGCGCTGGACGCCTCCCCGGCTGCCTCTCTTTCCCTATAATGGAAGACAGCTACATTTTCCAACGTTCATCTTGCAGCATAATTTTCTCGTTTTTACAAGGACCTTATTGTTTCGGTGAAATACCATTTTTGTGTCGGGCTGCCAAGCVTTGCTCAGCCCTGAAACCTGAAACTCCTCGCTGTGAGCTTTTCAAAGTCCTGGTGGACCTGGCTCTGAATGCTGCCACGCTGTTGGTATATCCGAGTCCATACGAAGGGATCTGTATCACCCATTCGTCTGACGCAGAGAAGGCCTCGGTCTGCGCGGAACAACAAGCATCTGCCCAGAGCTATTTCTGGTGTGTTTGGAAGATCTCTGGACTGCGGTAAAGGCTGAAAGCTGGTTCACTCGGTCCCATGCTCATGAGCTCACACTTTCTGTCTCTCCCACTCTTTCTCTCTCTCTCTCTCATACACATCCCCACGCACCCACATAACACACACTCATACACTGACCCTTTGTACATAAACTAATCTGCTTTTGCTTAGATAATACTGTTAGACAAATTGCTTAAAAGTAGAAACCATATAACATTTTAGTGAGAGCCATTTTATTATTTGATTGTATGTAACCACATATTAATCTTTCATTATTCTCTTTTAACAAAAGTCAGTTAATTTTAACTGGCCAAAATAAACCTGAACGACTTTGTGTGTTTCTGTGTATGTGTTTGAYTGGTTATTTTTTTTCAGCAGTACCATCTTCGAACTGGGGAGGGTAACTCTTAATTAAAAACGTATTCATGATTTTAAACGGGAGTTATCACTACACATGCTACTTTAACTTTGTCATAGAGGAGCACCGGATCTTAATTAATATCGACCTTTATGTATCAGACTTATTTAACTTGAAGAATGAATTTCTGATTTGAAATGATAATATTAAATTATAGATGTTTTTTCTCACTCAATGAAGAAGTGACTTTTCAGTTGTTTTTTGTTCATTTATTACAACAGAGGATCAATAATTAATGAAACTACATAAACAATTTTATAGAAAATTAAAGGAAATTTTGAATAAAGGAGACTGTTACAATATTATTTTAAACTGAGTTTGAAATAAAACTTGAGGTTTCGCCTTTTTACAAAGAAACCACATATTTTCCCAAGAGAAATATTTGTCTTCTAGTGGTTAATTGGCAAATGACCTAGTTTGTGAAACTATGCAGTTTTCTGGACCAWGTGTGATAGTGAGGGAGGTACAGCTCAATACTCTCACCCAGTGCTGGAGACACCCAGTTGTCTCATTGGGGGTGATGGTTTAGTTGGTGGAGCCATTTGGCTGGAATCCGCACAGTATCAGAGCTGTCCATAGGGTCATCACTTAGAGGTCAGGCAAGGAGTGGGTTCTGACATCAATGGTCCCATTCTGGAGAGGACGGCCAGGTCTTTCCATCAACACAGCCTCAAGACAGTTGGATGCAGCAGGGCACTCAGAGATGGGTGGCTTGTCTCACTCCAACATAGTACCTGATCCCGGCCGGGATCAGCTGGTTAACTTCTGCAGCATAAAATGAAATCCAACTACATTTTTCTCAGTTTGGTCAACACACCAATATGAAAACGTTTGGTCAGCTCTAGGATAAAAGCTGAACTTTTTTTTTCTTCTGCACTAGTTGCCTACAGCATGTGGCCTGCCCAGACAAAACAATCTAAAGACATTTACTTCTCATGGTTAAATAAGACCATGAATGTTTCTCCTGGGAAAATATTTTGGCTTCTTACAGATCTGCAAGAACACAGCTGTTTGCCTTCTTAAAAAATAAAAGGTAAATAGCAACAGATATTCACACTACGATTAAGCAGACATCCATCCTCTATACCTGCTTCTTCCTTTCAGAGTCACTGGTGCCCATATCCAGCAGTCACAGTGTGAGGGGCGGGGTACATCCTGGACAAGTTGCAAGTCCATAACCGGGACACAAATTACCATTATCTCTCACCCACACCCAGGGACAATTTAGAGTTACCAGTTGATCTAACACTGATGTTTTTGATCTGTGGGAGGAAGCTGGAGTGCCCGGAGAGAACCCACGCATGCCTGGAGAGAACATGCAAACTCTACCCAGGGCCAGGATTTGATCCGGCAACCTTCTTGCTGACAAGCATCAGCTCTACCGAGCCACCATGCCAATTCAGCAGACAATTCATACCAATATTCAGGTTCAAATAGTGTGATCAGTGTGATTGGCGCGGCTGAGTGGTTAGGGGAGTCGTCCTGGAACCGGAAGGTCGCCGGTTCGATCCCCATCCAGTCGACTCAGTTGTTGTGTCCTTGGGCAAGACACCTTACCCACCTTGCCAACTGATGGTGGTCAGAGGGTCCGATGGCGCCGGTGTATGACAGCCTCGCCTCTGTCAGTGTGCCCCAGGGCAGCTGTGGCTACAATTGTAGTTTGCCATCATCAGTGTGTGAATGTGTGTGTGCATGGGTGAATGTCTGTAGTGTGAAGAGCTTTGAGTGTCCTGGATGGATAGAAAGGTGCTATATAAGTACAGTCCATTTACCATTTTTACCATCAATACAACACTTGAGTAATAACCAACATAAGAAAAAAAGCATTTTACAAATATGATGATTCTTTTCTTTCTTTTATTAAATATAATAACGTTTTTATTATAGCAACWGTCTGCCTGGTGGCATTAATCATATTAATCGTCAAGTGCCAAAAAATAATTGATTAATGCTTTTCTGACAATTAATTGCACACAATACTGAAAGAAAATATTGTTATTCATGTTCATTACCAGGATGTGTGCTTAACCATACGGAGAATGTACAAATGCATGGAAAGGATTATTAAAGAGTAGCCATACAAAACCAAGAGTGCTCTTGCTGAAAT